CAGCCCAGTGGCTCTGTGCCCTGAGCTCACCTGTGGCGGCTGCTGGGAGGCTCCAGGCAGCGGCCACAACCGCCCTCCCACCACCCCCACCTGGAAGTTTCTGGAAGCTCGTGGGTGGCCTCGCAGTGCCCGGCTCAGCACGGGCTCCCCTCCTCCCCGCCCCTTTCCGGCCCCCGTTACTGATTCTCTTCACAGATGCGGCCCATCTTGGAAATAGCCTCCACGAGGATCCATGTCCCGAAATAGCAGAGTCCCGTGTGGGAGAATTCTTCAGCAAAGGGGGGGGGGGGAGGCGGGGGGGATCGGCTGTGCTTCCGCGGGCGCCTGATACGCGGCTGCTCGATTCCTGGGAGGCGAATACTGCCCCGCCCCGAGGCGTGGGAAGCCACTCGTCTCCGGGACGGCCGGGTGGGGGGAGCGGAGGGGACAGAGATGACCAGGCCCCAGGGCCTCAGGTTGCTCATCCATCGCGGGCAGGTGCCTGCCCCGTGTCCATTAGAAACTGGGACCCAGACGGGACGTGAGCTGCCCTGTGCCTGGGCTCAGGGCGGACGGGGTGGACCCAGGACACTATTCCTCAGGCTCTGAGAACAGCCCTCATCACACACGCACGGACACGCACAGACATGCACAGACACACATGCGCACACGTGCACACAGACACACCCTCGCACACAGGGAGTGAGTCTCGGCCTCTCTGGCTCCAGTGGCCGCACCTGCAGGGTCACCGCCAGGCCGCCTGGGACACGCTGGGGCAGGTGGGGGCTGGGGGAAGGTTCTGGAAGGCTCCCTGCTCCACAGGCCCGGCCGCCCGGGAAGCCCAGCCAGGGGCTCTCCGGGGCGGGGGACAGGGATCAGCCACCCCACTTGGGGCTCAGCCCAGCGGCCGACCCGAGCTGTGCAAGGTCACAGCCCTGGCTGGTCCCTCGGTGCCCCATCTGGAAAGGGGGTGGTGGGGCCACCCTCCCTGCACGCTCAGCTGGCCAGCCCCGCACGGAGGGGGCCCCCAGGCCCCCGAAAGCCAGTCCCCGGAGGTGAAGGTGGGATGGTGACCAGCAGAGGGAGCGCCTCGCGGGCAGCTGTGGCTCAGAGCAGGCGGCTGCCTGGGCAGGACACTGAAGACAGGGCAGGGGACAGGTGGCCCAGAAAGACACACGCTGCCCTGAACACACACAGGCACAGCTGCCGGGGCCCTGAGACCCTCGGGCCCACTTCACAGACAGGGAAACTGAGGCCGGGAGTAGAGGGCGGTGTGTCCAGCAGAGGCCCAGGCCCTCCGGGGTGGGGAGTCCAGGGCAGGGTGGGGCAGGGGAGGGACAGGCCTGTCAGCCCACCGATCAGAGTGCCCACCGCGAACTGCAGCGACTCGCCGTCCTTCTCCTGATGAGGGGGACCCGGGGACCACTAGTCTCGGAATTGCCGCGGAGGAGAGCGTTAGGAGAAAAATAAATGGGAAAGGAACCCAGTGGAGCTGTGACTGGGACACAGTGTATCATCGGCAATGAATTGCAAATACAAGAGGGTCCCTTGTCGATTGATTTCAGCGAGTAAACAATTTGGGTATTTAAATGGAAACTCGCGAAGGGAAGGGAGCAGGGACTGGGTTCGAGAGAGAACTGAAAACCTCGGGCTGAAAGCTGGCTCTGGGACTCTGGGCGGGAAGGAGGGCATGCCCCCGCCCGGCCTGCAGCTCCCGGCCGCCTCCTCG